AAAATATTTCTAATTACATTCCTGTTGTAATAATGATTGCACTTAAGCTCTACTGTTTCTAGTAAGAAGTGCTGAGTGAATATATAAGAACACTTGTTAGTTTTAGTTTATTATAAACAAATTGATGCTTCTGGAAAAACTATGATTATATTTAAACAAAATGTTACCCTTGTCATCATTTCCGTGTTTTGCTGAAAGCCTTTATTTGGAAATAATTTAACAAACCTGAGGCTGAAGTATTTGTCACTACTACATCTTCTAAATTAAGTATAAATGTTTGAGGTTTTATTGTATTTTCTTCATATTGTTACATTTAAACATTAGTCAGTGCTTTAACAGAAAAAAAGTGTTTTGTCGGTTATGTATTAAGTGGGATAAAAATAAATACAAACACACTGACTTTTAATGTTTAAATTGCCCAATCTAGTCCAGAATCCTTATTTTGTAGATGAAAAAATTTGAGACTTGGACAAACTGTTTTTCCAAAAGGCATATAACTTCTTTGAGGTAGAGCAAAAACTAGAAACTTGGTCTTCTCATTCTCTATTAGGTGTTGAAATTGTTCAGTCTAGAAAAGGAAAGACAAATTGTAGGTGTGGCTTGATTCTTGCTTCTGAGTATTGGAAGGGTACCCTCCACGTCCCCTACTGCCCTGTGACAAAAGTTATTTTCTTATAATTAAAAATAACTGTCTGCCAGGGACCACAAGAAAGAATGGGTTTATCCAGCCTGGCCAATATGGCAAAACGCCGTCTCTACTAAAAATACAAAAATTAGCTAACTGTGGTGGCAGACCCCTGTAATCCTAGCTACTTGGGAGGCTGAGGCAGAAGAATTGCTTCAACCTGGGGGATGGAGGTTGCAGTGAGCTGAAATCGCCCCATTGCACTCTAGGAGGCAAAGGACTCAAAAAAAAGAAAGAAAGAAAGGATATACCTCGGTCAAAGACATAACAGTTATTATCTTTACCCCTGAAGATTTTCAGAGAGAATAAATAACTCAGCTGGACAATTTAGATGGTAAAGGACTTGATCAGATGTTGTTTTAAGACCCTTTTGTATTATTCTCTGCTATTTGATGAGTTTTAAGGATAAAAATATGATAATGGAAATATTAAATGTTGGAATTTCCGTTTAGAAGAGTGACTGTTACTACTACAGGAAAAATGAGTCTAGGTCAAATATTTTAACCTTGACATTTGTGTTTGTACCTTTGGGAAAGCATCATCTATCTCCCTTTTGTATATCTGGACAGAAGAGTTGTCGTTTGTATGAAGACTAATGAACTTTTTTTTTTTTTTTTTAAACCAGCCTTGGCAAATGCAACATTATGTATTCTTGAGCCTATTATGTCTGTGGAAGTTGTAGCTCCAAATGAATTTCAGGGACAAGTAATTGCAGGAATTAACCGTCGCCATGGGGTAATCACTGGGCAAGATGGAGTTGAGGACTATTTTACACTGTATGCAGATGTAAGTAGGCTTGGTCATTGACAGTCTTGCTTCTGTTAACCACAGGATATCCAAATTAGCTTTTGTTTTTTTAAATGGACACATTTGCTTGCTGAATTTGTGGCTTTATACATGTGGCATTTTCTGTAATTTGTTATTAGAGCAACTCAAGTGCAGAAGTTAAAAATAAGATTTATTTTATCTTGACCTTTTGTGAATATGTCATTTTCTTATATGTATATTATCTCTCTTTCTTGGATAAGCACAGACTGACGAAAAGGAAAAATAAGATGTGTATTTATCTCTCGTTTTAGCTTTATTTGCATAGCTACTTTATTGCTATCTTTATTGGAATATTTTAATTCCCTTGCCTATACCTTTCTTGACTTAAATCTCAAGGGAAAAAGTGTTTATTACATTTCTTAAGGCCTCCTGGAAAACACTAGTCTCAGCATATCATTAAGGTGTCCAAAGGAAAGTTGTATTCCCATTTTCGCAGAAGAAACACTTGTGAGTCCTTGAGCTGTAGCTATAGAGCAGCGAAGTGGGGATAAGAGGGAAGAGCTGTCAATGGTGTTCACTCCGTGAAATGGAAAGATTTGGTTTGTGGTTCGACTGGCAAATGAAATAATTTTCAAATGGGATTTCCACTTGGAATAAAACAAAAATGTTTCCCTTTGGCTTTTAATTATTCTAAACTAAGAGTAGTAAGTAGAAATCTTAATATAAAGGAATTAAATGGCTAAAGTGCATCTGTGCTTTTCTCAAATATTTTTCAATAAGCAGTGCTAAAATATCTACTGTGTTTGTTTTCAGGTCCCTCTAAATGATATGTTTGGTTATTCCACTGAACTTAGGTCATGCACAGAGGTAGGCAAATTTAAACTTTACTGTAGTGCCCTTCAAAAGACCACCATACAAAATCATCAAATTTATAAAATCTTGACCTTGCATGAGTTTGCTTTATAGTTAAAAACAAAACAACACAACAACAACAACAACAACAAACTATCTTTTTTTAAACCCCTAGGGAAAGGGAGAGTACACAATGGAGTACTGCAGGTATCAGCCATGTTTACCAGCCACACAAGAAGAACTCATTAATAAGTATTTGGAGGCTACCGGCCAACTGCCTGCTAAAAAAGGAAAAGCCAAGAACTAACTTTTCCTACTTTGAGTTGACTAACTTTAATTGAATTTGCGTGGTTTCAATACTTTGATGGATTCCAGTGGAATAAATTCAGGCTGCTAAACAAGAAGTTTTGAGCCTGGGAAGCAGGCTCTTCTTTTTTCAAAAGAAGCCCTTCTTATTCATATCCAGGAGCTTCTGTTCTATTCAAAGGTAATTCTATGTCTATCTCAACTCTTTTGATTGGTTTTATAGTTTATTGAAAATCCTCAAATAAAATGTAATATTTACTGAAATATGTTTAATATTTATTTAAGGGGAGAAGAGTTATACTTTTAAGCTTAGAATGTATGTACATTTCCCTTCCAAGTTTTGTATTATAAGAGTTTTCAACATAGAGAAAAACTGAAAAAGTGCAAAGAACAACCACATGCTTTTCCATCTACCTTCCTTTGTTAACAGGTCATTTATCATATAGTCATTTGTTTTGTCATATTTGCTTTAACTGTCTATTGTCTCTTTAAGTCACATACCTCTGTGTTTTTAAACTATTAGTTTGCTGAAGATTTGAAAGTGAATCACTTACATCCTGACACTTCTTGGGTCATTAATGGGCAGGCTTTTCTGTTGAAGAGTGGATTCTGTATAATCTTCATAGAGAGTGCTTTTCAGATTCTTCATTGGGATATTAAAATATTAGCTAAATTTCTCTCTATTTTATATATGGCTGATTATTTTAATTTGTAGTTTCTGCAAATTTGTAACTACCTCTGTTTTAGGTACTTCCTTGTGGTCTATTGTGAAGTAAAAAGTGGACCCTTGCATATGCTATTCTCTTTTTTGTTCATCTTAATGTTTCTGTACACCTAAATCAAATGTAATTTACAAAGTTAGTTTCATCAACCTAATGAATGCTAGCTGAATTTGAATTCACTTGAATTTGTCGTATATTGTATTCACTGAGGTTGTAGAAGAACAAATGTTAATCTTTTGTTTCCAGAATAAGTTGGGCTTTCCCAAGGTTCAGAATTGCTTCATCCAAAAATCATCTGATGGCATAGATGGATCCTAGTCCTTTCCATTACCTGATGATAGAAATAAAATAATTGATTTTAAATTCCTTTCCTTTTCTTGACTTACAGATGTGGGTTTATACTTTAAGGTTTCTAGGGAAAAAATATTTTTAAACAGTATTGAGCACATATTTTCAAGGAATTTGCTAAATACTTTTATTTTTATTTTTTTTTGTGGCCGAGTCTTGCTCTATCGCCCAAGCTGGAATACAGAGGCACCATCTCTCTTCACTGCAACCTCTGCTTCCTGGGCTCAAGCAATTCTCCCATCTCAGCTGCCCGAGTAGCTGGGACTACAAGTGTATGCCACCGCTCCCTGCCAATATTTTGCATTTTTTGAAGAGATGGCATTTTGCCATGTTGCCCAGGCTGGTCTCAAACTCTTGGGCTCAAGCTCTCTGCCTGCCCTGGCCTCTCAAAGTGCTGGGATTATGGGTGTGAACCACCATGCTGGGCCGCTAAATACATTAAATGCATTATATAATTTCATTCTCACAACCCTGAGAATAAATACTGTTACTGTGTCCATTTGTTTATGGAGGAAGCACAGATAAGGTAAATAACTTTAATGAGACCACAAAACCTAAGTTTTTAAACTGATACTCTAATTATGATAATTCACCAAGTGCATGTCTGCCATGAATGTCTGTTGCTATGATAGCATCAGGTCTGAAAAAATGTGGTTGCTTTGATATTTTGTCAGCATCTTGCGCCATTCACAATAACTTTGAATATTGTTCCTAATGAGGATATACATTCTCTGTACCTTCATGGAACTTAGCATGATTCCTCTGGCCGTTGAGAATAGTCACAACTACTGAAACTAAACTGGATAAACTTGGATAAGTAAGTAAAAGTTTTACTTATTTTTAATTTGTAAAACATCCTGGTTATAATGTTACAATGTCAGAAAAGGTCCTAGATGGCGGGCCGCAATGGCTCACACCTGTAATCCCAGCACTTTGGAAGGCCAAAGTGGGTGGATCATGAGGTCAGAAGATTGAGACCATCCTGGCTAATAAAGTGAAACCCCATCTCCATTAAAAATACAAAAAACTAGCAGGGCATGGTGGCACATGCCTGTAGTCCTAGCTACTTGAGAGGCTGAGGCAGGAGAATCACTTGAACCCAGGAGGCAGAGGTTGCAATGAGCCGAGATTACATCACTGCACTCCAGCCTGGGCTACAGAGTGAGACTCCATCTCAAAAAAAAAAAAAAAAAGGAAAGAAAGAAAAGGTCATAGATATTTAATCCAACACCAGCATTTCATGGGTAATGACTTAGGCCTAGCTGGTGGGAGTAATTAGAATAGGATCACAAATGGACAGATCAGGACCGGAACCCACATCTCTTTCAAACTCATTAGTTTATTGAATCCAACACCAGCATCTCATATGCAATGACTCAGGCACAGCTGAGAGTAACTAGAATGGGATCACATAAGGACAGATCAGGATCAGAACCCACATCTCTTTCTAACTCATTAGTTATAGTTGGTAAAGATCACATACTAACCAAAGTCTGTAGCATGGAAAAAAATTAATGAGAATATTCATAAGTGAAAGTTGTTTATACTGCTATCAAGAAGGATAATTTTGGCTAATTGGAATATTACATACTTGTATTGGAGAATAGTAGCAGCACTAGGCAGTATTGTACTGATTCCTGACCCTCACTGCACTTTAAAAATCACTGGGGGAGACTTAAAAAGAAATACCTAGGCTCACACCCAGGAATTTAGATTATTTGGCTGGATCAAGATAAAAGTTTTTTGGGTGATTCTAATATGCAGACAAAGTTAAAGACTAATGAAATATTGCCTGCACTACACTTAAGCCCAAGCCACGAAATGAAAAATTTGTGAAATTCAGAAGTGTCATATTGTATTCTTTTGGGTAATATTAGAATGTGTTTGTTTGTTTGACAACTTCTTTTTTTTAAGAGATGGGGTCTTCTAAGACAAGAAACATCTGACTCAGCAATACCATTACTGGGTATATACTCAAAGGAATGTAAATCATTCTGTTATAAAGACGCATGCACACATTCATTGCAGAATTATTCACAATAGCAGAGAAATGGAATCAACCTAAATGCCCATCAATGATAGACTAGATAAAGAAATGTGGTACATACACATTGTGGAATACTATGTAGCCATAAAGAAGAATGAGATCAAGTCCTTTGCAGGGACATAGATGGAACTAGAAGCCATTATCCTCATCAAATTAACATAGGAAAAGAAAGCCAAATACTGCCTGTTCTCACAAGTGGGAGTTAAATGATGAGAACACATGAACACAGAGAGGATTAACACATGCTGGGGCTGGGGCGTATTGGGAGGGTGCAGGGTGGGCGGTGGGAGAGGATCAGGAAAAATAACTGATGGGTACTAGGCTTTTACCTCATTGAAGAAATAATCTGTACAGCAAACCCCACAACATATTGTTGTGGGGCATTGTTACCTATGTAACAAGCCTGCACATGTACCCCTGAACTTAAAGAGATGGGGTCTCGCTATGTTGCCCAGGCCGCTCGCAAACTCATGGGCTCAAGCAATCCTCTGGTCTCAGCCTCTAGAGTAGCTGGGGCACTAGGCACACATCACCATACCTGACTTGATAATTTTACCTTAAAAAACAAAAAAGTCAGTGTTTCTGTTTTTTGTTATTTCTTTCCTCTGCTCACTCTTAGATTGTGTAGTTGTAAAATCACTAACATTTAGTTAGCTCTGAAGTTTAGGATTTTTGATATCTTAATATTTTTGAAATCTGGATAAGTCTCAAAATTGACAGCCAACCCAATAGGAGTAAATTGTGACATGTTGGAATGTGTCCCTTTGTACAAGATAGCTATTTGCAGTGCTAAAACTGTAAATTGTTGAACTGGAGCTCTAATTGCCACTGAAAGTATCTTCAAATAACATTGTAGTGCATCATTGAAATAAGTTAATTGTATTCAAGGAAAATTGATTGTGAGCGTTCATTCATTTATCGATTCCAATAAGTCCTAGGCAGCAAGTTAGGTGACTATAGTATTTTGAAAACTAGGAAAAATCACAAAACAGGTCAGAATTTTCTAATTTGAGAGAAATTGATATAATAAACTAATATGTCATGAATGACTAAACATTCAAGTACAAATATATAAGCTTCCAACTGATTTTCAAAATTATTTAACTTCTAAAAATTCATAATTCAGGTAGGAAGAAAATGAAACTATGATTAAAATAAAATGGAATGTAGACAAATCCCTGGTATTATTTTACATGTCTTAAAATTCTAGAAGTTCTAGAGATTAAGAAAATGAATGTGATGCTGTTTGTGATTGTCATTAGCTAACAGTGATGCAGAATAACTTAGACTCTTGAAAAGAGGACTTAGGGAATTTAGTTTTTCATTTTATGCCAAGTGATTTTTTGGTTGTTAGCTAGTGGAACCACTGTTAGTAATATTAACAATTTTAGAGTTTGAACTAGAAAAGATGTTCTGAGGCTGGGCATGGTGGCTCACACCTGTGATCCCAGTACTTTGGGAGGCTGAGGTGGGTGGATCACCTGAGGTCAGGAGTTGAGACCACCCTGGCCCACACAGTGAAACCCTGTCTCTACTAGAAATACAAAAATCATCTGAGCTCGGTGACATGCATCCGTAGTCCCAGCTACTCGGGAGGCTGAGGCAGGAGAATTGCTTGAACCTGGGAGGCAGACGCTGCACTGAGCTGAGATGGTACTGCCACTGCACTCCATTACTCTAGCTTGGGCAACAGAGTGAGACTCTGTGACAAAAAAAAAAAAAAAAAAAGGTAAGATGTTCTAACGGTGATACTGATAAATTTTTAGTTGGTTTAACTTTTGGGGGTTTTGTAAATTTATAAATTAGGTAATTGTGTTTGTATATTATTTGTATGTATAGAATTCTCCTTCATATTCTATTATACTGTAATAAATCTGCTAAAGGGTTACCTTAGAATCATTACCTGGTTGGATTACGGTCACATTTGTGAGCCTAATCTCACTAATGAAAAATGTGTTTTAGTGGCTCACATCTGTAATTCCAACACTTTGGGAGGCCAAGGTGGGAGGATCCCTTGAGCCTAGAAGTTTGAGACTAGCCTGGGCAACATAGGGTGACAAATAACCAGCTGGTGTGGGACATCCTGGGATAGATAATCATTTGCTTCCAATGTGAAGACAGCCACTCAATGAAGGTCAAACAGAAAAAAAAAGGAGAAAAGAAAAACGCCTTTATGGGGATGAGGACTTTGAGAAAGCTGCAACTCTAGAAAGCTGAAACACCAAGTAAATGCCGTTCTCTAGTCCTTAACATGACACTAAAAGATTTATTAAATATCACAGGACATTGAGTGTACTATTGTAATGCTCTTAGGACTTTTTTTGAAGATAATTTGGGGAACTTCAGTGATAGAAATTTATCACTTGATTTTGGCACAATTTAATCATTGTGGATTCTGATAATTTGTAAAAAGTATCTCTTCATTATCTCATAGATGGGAGAGCTGATGTATCCTTTAAATGATTGTTTGCAATGCTTCCAGATACTGCAACTCTTTATTTTTTATATGTATTTTTAAAAATTAAGACTGGATTTCACTATGCTGCTCAGGCTGGGCTTAAGTGATCTTCTTACCTTTGGCCTCCTAAAATGCTGGGATTATAGGAATGAGCCCAGCCACAAGTCTTTAAATCAGTAAACGTTTTTTAAAGAGAGGGGGTCTCACTGTGTTGTCCAGGCTAGTCATGAACTCCTGGGCTCAAGTGATTCTCCAGCCTCCCAAAAGTGCTGAGATTACAGGCATGAGCCAACAGCCCTGTTTTTTTTTTTTTTTAATTAAAAAAAATTTTTTTTTTAAATTTAAATCAAGTGGATTTGGGGAAGATAAATGCAAAGCAAAGGGCTTTAAGTAGAAAAAAAACTAAACTAGATCAGCTTATTTTGTATGGTTCATGCCTTTAAAATTTTCTCTTTAGAATAAACTTTTCTGATGATCTAAAAGTAATGTTTTGATATATTTTAAGGTTGATGTTTCCTAATCAATTATTGACTACCAAACCTGGCTCAAGGTTTTTAGACACCAACATAAGCATTCCATTAAATGATACTAATTTTGAGAGGCAAATGATGGCAACGCTTCCTGGATCAATTCCTCCTGCCTTCAGAAGATACTCCACTGAATTGGATTATGGTACATACTATGTTTGCTTTTATAAATTACTTAGGCCAACACTTGGTCCAAGTTGTCTTTGTAAATGAAAATTGTAAATATTTAATATGCTTTCAGTTACATCCGTATTTCTTCTGATGGATGTTTGCAGACAGCTTTATCTGGTGAGACATTCTATTATTTGTAAAATTTAAGTTAAGCAATATTACTATTTCATTTAATTCCAGTTTAGCACAAGACTTTCCTTTGTATACAGATCTCCACAAGAGCATTTAACACATTTCAGTATTTAGAAATGTAAATATGTATTTAAAAGTAGATAGCAAGTTAAAAAGGAATACTTGCCTGAAATCATAAAATATAATACAGTTTCTTTTAAACAGTTAATTTTTTCCCTATAATTTACTTTCATTGAAAATGTTATCTTTGTTTACATACTAGATAGAAGCAATTTAGCAACATAAAATATATTAGCTATAGTATGTTAAAAAGAATGAGAAATGCAGATTCAGAGATGGGACCATCATTTTTTGCAGTTTTTTAAAAATGCTGATCTTGTTGCAGCATACACTAATTATCCAGGCTTTACGTTTTAGGGCTGAAACCCTGAGGAACCTGCTGGTGACTGTTTAGCACGGAGCGGAGTTCAGGTCCATGTGCTTCCAGAATTAAAAGCGAAAGCAGACCAATTGAGAAACAAACAAAAAACCAGCATCTTTGAATTTGAGTTTTTACTTGTAATCATAGGCTTTCCCAAATTATTAGAATATCTATACCTTAGCTATTTTACCAGAAAAATGCTAGTACAGTCACGTGTTTAGAAGCTGGAAAAATATCATTTTTTCTTTTTAGAAATTACTAAGTTCTGTTGGTGCTACAGCTGATCCTTCTTCAGTTCCAGAGGCTTCTTCTGGTGTCTGTAGCTCTTGACAGTGGTACTTCACTTTAAGTGGTTTGCCAGGGTACCAGACCAAGTGAATACGACAGGGAATTATTTCCTAGGAAATAAGAGTTATAAAATATTATGATCTGCAAAAACTTATGGTAAAAACAATTCTACATACAATTTTCTGTTTTACCTGTGTTGATAATTCATGAAGTAGAACAGTGTAATCAAAATCAATTGTATCATCGTTAGTTTTCTAGAGGGAGAAAAAAAAGTCAGTATAATAAATATGGTGGTATTTGGTGTAATAAATATGCAATACATTCTTGTTTTGAATGGGTGCCTTGACTCTCCTACTGCCTTTTAGATTTTAGCCTCATGGTTTTTGGTAGTATTTTGCTTCAAGATATGGAAGTCATTGATCCTCATTTTTGTCTTGTCACTGAGTTACATGGAAGTCTGGCTGAATGTCTATCACTTTTCCTCTTTAATATTCATAGTTTCGGATGGACACTGAGTCTGTGGAGATAGGGAGATTCTTTTAACAACCTTAAGGATCTGGATACCGTATATGCACCTCAAGCTGATATATTAGCCCTGATATAACAGACAATAAGACAAGGGGAAGGACAACTAGTAATTCTAGAATGCCTACCATGGGCTAGGTTCTGTGCTAGGCACCTTCTACGTGTTCTCATGTAATTCTCCTTTACAGTCTATGTATTATGAGCCTAGTTTTACAGGAGAGGTAATTTGAGGTTACAGCTAGGAAGTGACAAATGGGAATTCCAACTCAGATCTACTGACTCCAGCACCCATATTCTTCATATATACTACATGAATACCACACTGTTGCTAAAACCAGTGCCTTAGATATTTTTCAGTAGGCAGGCAGTCTTTACCTCTTCTATTCACAGTGTTTCTATACATTTTACTAGTGACTAAACCAACTCCATATTTTCTTTTTGACATTTCCTTTAGATTGCTTATCTGTTCACAAGTAAAAGTGGAAGAAAGAACATTTTTTTTTAAAAAAAACCTCAATTTGGATTATAATTTTAGTCTTCCTACAATGGAGTACTCCATTTTTCTGAGAAAAAGAGAATGAGTTACTTAAAAAAAACTTTTTCTTCTTTTCTCTTTCCTCCTTTTCCCCTGTTCTCCACTTCCTACTCAGCTCTTTAGAAATGGAATCATAACCTTTACTTTCCCTTTTACCAGGTACTCCCTGCATGGCAAGCTTATGTATGCGCTCACTCTAAAGCTCGAGAGCTGGAACTCTCTCCCACCAGGAAAAGGCATTGAGAGACAACAGTCCATTTACAACCTCTGTTAGGACCATGAAGGAACTCTGTCCAAAATCTTGAGACAATGGCCAGTTTACAGTCTAGCTCTGCCCACATGGCACCAGCTCAATCGCCCAGTAGATAAGGTATTCAAGTGAGTCACATAGACCCTGCACCTGCTCGCTTCCTCCCCTGCATGCCGTTCATGCCAAGTCCCCCTTTAAAAGCCCTTGCTTTTTGTCCCAAAAGGGAAATAGTACCTTAAAGGCAGGAGCCTATACTTATTCCCCTAAGCTAGCTTTGAAATAAAGTCACTTTATTTATACCAGACCTCACTTTTGTGAATTGGACTCTGCAAGCAGCAAACAACTAAACTTGCATTTTGGATATATTACCAGGTTTGTGTTAAGACTACTAAAGAATACAGAAAAGCAACCCCCACAAAAAAAACAGTTTTGTCTCCCCTTTGCCTACATTGATGAAGATTTTTACAAGCCATGACATTTCCAGTAGGTGAGGAAGTCTGGAGGGAGAAGATACAAGAGAGGGCCTGGATAAATCAGAAAGCAACTGCATTTTCTATGGTGTCTTCTTGGCAATACTGGGTAAGTTTCCCTCCTGTCTCACAGTGCACCCACAAATGTTCAGAGCAAACATCTGAGGCACAAACAGCAAAGTCAGAGAATTCATGAGAGAAAATTCAGTGTCTCTTTCATAAGGGAACAGTTACTGGAGGTTCCAGTGATTAGTTCGGCATTGTCACTTTGAGGATATGTTTAGCTTTGTTTGACCTCCATTTGGTAGCTGTCTGGACCTTGGAAGGAAACAGTTATCTATCCCAAGATGTCCCACACCAGCTGGATATTTGTCTCAGACTTCTGTGCTGTCTGTACTATTTTTCAAGTCTTGAGTGTTTATCATGTATTTTTATAATTTAAGAATTGGTTTTAGGCTGGACATGGTGGCTCACACCTGTAATCCCAGCACTTTGGGAGGCCAAGGTAGGAGGATCACTTGAGCCCAGGAGTTTAAGACCAGCCTGGGCAACATAGTGAGACCTCATCTCTATTAAAAAATGATTGTATATATATGTATGCAAATATATGTGTATATATATATTGGTTTTACTTATACACTTACAATGTTTTTTTGAGAACAGTCTTATTCTGCTTTTGAAAACAACATTTCTGAAGGAAATCATGGCAGTCTCCAGTGAGGCAAAAAAGAGGCTGGAGCTTAAAACAAGCGTTAGCATTCCAGCCCCATTTGACAAGCTATTTTGCTAAAGGTGCAGAAAGAGTGTTACCCATTTTTAAATACAAAAATGTGAGTCATGATAATGCTTGCTTGGAAAACCCTGTATCATTTGATTGAGAAATTCCTTGGTAAAGTTATTGAAACATCCCCTTACATTTGTGTTTTTATAGATTCCTCCTCCTTTAAGAGGAACCACCATTAAACCAAACCAAAAAGCACAGCTTATTAAAAAACTGCAGAAGAGGTCATTGCACATTGCAGGCTGGCAAAGTATGCCTGGATTGGACTGCCTTCACCAAGTGAAGCTCTGCCAAGAAGTCATTTCTAATATTATTCAGAAATTATCTTTTTGGCTTCAATTCAGATCATCATAAATGTCAAATCTTGTAGCCCAAATTGATGATGATTTGTTGTTACATTTCCTGGTAACTCAGCACTTAATCTTGTTGGAGACAGACTGGAAGTGTTTTGTTTGTTCCCTTTTGCTTGCTCATGACCCAGCACACCCCATGCCTCTCCACCCTACTTACCCCAAAAGAGAGAGAGAAGACTAACAGACCCAGGGTGGTTTTAGTAGTGAGGAAGTAGGCTTAAGTTAGTAATAGAAGTTATAAAGTAGATTTCAGTATAATAGATAAAGTAGATAAGATGGCTTCTTATGTAGCTTTGGCTAGTGGAGACTTAGGGTGAAGATGAGCTGACTGATAGTGATGTGCTACAGGTTAGATAGTTTGGTGCTTACAAATCTGATACTAATTGATAGGAGTTAGAACAATACTCAGCTTGACTTTTCTCAATTCATATTCAGGGCTAAAGGTATGGCCTTATCATATATCCCTTGTTCTTGGCACAGTCCTCATAGTATTGGGAATGACATCTATTCTTCAATTCTAAGGAAAGAGTTGTGCCAGTAAGATGGGTCTTATTTTACATTTGCATTTCAAACCTTTTTTTGCTCACTCTTCCCTCAGGCCTTGTTCATTTGGGCCTGTGAGGTTATAAGCTTGTACTTCATCACACAATTTTGAAAGGTGAAATTACCCTGAGTATCAAGACAGTAATTCCCACCCAGAAAGTTTTTGGAAAAATTATAATCTTTAGACTTTCTTTGAGCTACCTTGGGCTAAAAGCACTGTTAAATCCAGTAAGAAGTTGTAGCTTTTGTAAGTTTCCTTATTCTTTATTCCCTGCTTTCAAGGCCAGACTTCCTTATTCTCTCTGTTTCCCTGCTCTGGTCACAGCAAGCAACTTCCCAGCCAGTCCTTATCTATAGGGCCCACATTTTACTCACTCTGCAAATTACCCCTCCTGCCAGAATAGTTTCTCCCACCGAAACTGTCCTTCCTCCCAGTGTAACCCCCTCTCTGCACCCTTCAAATTAGCTAACCAGGACCAGTTTAGATTGTGCAGTCCAGTTCCAGCCAATGGAGACAGGACACAGTAGTAGAAACCCATTGTGTTAGAAATAAAAACCTCTTGCTTTCCTTTGTTCGTGGTGCTCTTGCCATCGTTCCATCTGTGAGATGCACCCTTCTATGGAAGTAAATTTGCCTTGCTGAGAAAATTTATGTTTGAGTGCTATTTATTTTGTAGCACCCGAATTTGTTTCTAACAAGTACCTCCAGTCATTCCTGCCTCTGTGTTGTACTGGCTTTCTCAGCCCTAGTGTCCTGTTGGCTAGTTTCTCAGAACAGTATTTAGAACTTCTGCTCATAGGGTATTTTTTTTAAAATCATTGATTGTTTTGTCTGTTGCTTGTGTTGCTTCTTTTGATCAGGGTCACAGGAGACCTTAGTGGCCACTGAGTAGCAGAATTTGAAAAATCTTTGTGGATATGTACATACTTAAAAAGAACTCTAAGCTGAAATGCATATCAACCTTGAAACCAAATTTCCTAATTGCTCTGGTAATTTAAATTTGTATTAGTTTCACTTCAGTCTGTTTGTGAGTCCTCATTTAATAGGCCCTAAGAGATGAAGTGATTTGCCTTGGGTGACCCAGCAAGTCAGCTGCATATTCAACTATTATTTATCTTAACACCCAAACACCACAGGGGAAAAGTAAAATCTAAAACTCTTACTCAATGACCATTTTCCCTTTGCATTTCTGTTTTTTAACTGTCTAGTTACATATATGTTCTTGCTTTCCCACTTGCAGTTTGGTTGAGTGGACAGATAATGGACATGAAAGACTGGTTAGAATGGGAGAGAAATATAGCTGCTATTTTTTTGTACCCTAGTATGTCCTAGTGCTAAAAATATGTCATATGCAACTGTAAAAGAAAGGGAAACATGTTAAAAGTCTTAGTTTTTCTCTGTTATATCAATGTGTTGCTCTATTCCTATTAGGTTTTTCTCTCACATTCACTGCAGTCAGTCCTACATTATCCTGACGCCATTTTCTACACTTAAAACAACCTCTTTCCCCCTGACTTTTCAGGTAAAGTAAAAGCCTCTTGTTGAGAATGTGGTCATCTTGGTAGATGAGAGTGTGTCAGAAACAGAGATAGAAACTTATCTAGCAAAAGAACTAGTACTGTATCTTGACTTGTTATATAGCAACAATTAATTAGAGGGTAATTTCTATTTACAAGCACTCTGTAAGGGGGAAAGACATGTTCGTTTTGATAAGTAAAGACAAAATCTAGGTTTCTAATTGATGTCTGTTGTACATGTGATCTTTGGAAAGCCAACCAAACTATTTATTTTTGGCAAAAAAAATGATGGTATAATGCTGGGCAAATCCTGTACTCAGAAGATATTTACTGATTATCCATCCATGGGTGAATCTATGAACAAAACAAATCTTTTAAATTGGTGCTTATGATTGGCTCAGCTTGCCTCTCTAATACTCCCAATACCTTCAACTCTCATCCTGCTCTCAGCTGATGACTTTGCCTCCTCTTTCACTGAGAAGACAGAAGCAGTTAGAACTTCCACAAACTCCCACTTTGATATCTGCCCTCCTAGTACTAGGCCACTGTTTCCTGCTTTCCCTCTAGGTGAACTCTCTATGTTCCTAATATCATCCGGATTGATCATACCCTCTCTTGCCTATCTTTTCCCTCTCTTTCCTGCAATTCCTACTTTGCCTTTCTTTACTGGACTTTTTCTCATCAACATATAAATTTGCTGTTACTTCTCCCAACCAAAAATAAGCAAAAAAAAAAAAAAAAAGCCCTTTCAGCCCTATGCCCACTCATTGTCCAGCTGTAGTCCTCTTCTCCTTCCTTTTACTCTTCTTTATTATAGCTAAATTTCTTGAAAGGGCTGAGTGTCCACTTCCTCTCTTCCCATCCTTTCCTGAACCTACCCCAATCAGGCTTTTGTCAAAACTGTGCCAGTGAGAGGACTCTTGATAAGCTCTCCATTGACTGTGAGTTGCTCAATCAAACGGGCAGTTCTCAGTCCTCATCTTACCTGACTTTCCAGCAGCGTTAATACTACCAGCCAGTCCTCATCCTTGAGATACTTTCCTTTCCCATATCTCCAACTGCTTAAGTCAGAAGTGTTCCATGATCCATTCCTTACATAACTTAACTTCATTTTCTTCACTCATTACTTGTGACCTCATCCAGTCTTGTGACTTTAAATACTATCTATATGGTGATAACTAGAGCCAAGACCTCTCCCCCACTTCAGACTCTTCTGTCCAGATGATTATACAAATTCTCTATTTGGTTATAGAATTTAGAATGCCCCAAATTAAGATAATTTCCCTCAATTCTGTTCCTCCTATAAGGTTCCCAAATCAGTAAATGAAAACTCTATTCTTCCAGTTATTCACACCAAAATTCTAAAAATCATCTTTAACTCCTCTCATGTCTGATACCCATATCCAACCCATGAGCCAATATTGTCACTCTGCCAGAATCCAAGTGTCTTTCCAGCTCCATTGCTACCACCCTGGTCCAAGCTTTTTTTTTTTTTTTTTTTTGGAGACAGAGTCTTGCTCTGTAGCCCAGGCTGGAATGCAGTGGTGCGATCAGAGCTCACTGCGACCTCTGCCTCCCTGGCTCAAGCGATTCTCCTGCCTCAGCCTCCCGAGTAGCTGGGCTTACAGGCATCTGCCACCAAGTCCAGTTAATTTCTATTTTGAGTAGAGACAGAGTTTCACCATGTTGGCCAGGCTGGTCTAAAGCTCCTGACCTCAAGTAATCCACCCACCTTGACCTCCCAAAGTGCTGGGATTACAGGTGTGAGCCTTTGCACCCACCCAATATTGCAATACTTTACTGGTCTGCTGGAAAGAGGAGTCAGGTCATGTCACTCCTCTGGTTAAAACCCTCTAATGGGTAAACGAGTGAAAGATAAGAAAGACCCTTTGAGTGGCCCGTAAGGTCTTACATGAGCTGATGCTTTTCATTTGCCCCACTCCATTTGATCTGTCTCCTAGCATGCTCCCTTTGTCACTCAGTTCTAGCCACAGCAGCCTCACTGCTATTTCTCCTGCTCTCAGCTGATGACTTTGTCCCATTTCACTGAGAAGACTGAGCAGTTAGAATACAACTTCCACAAACTCTCACCTTGATATCTGTCTATCCTTTTACCAGCATCTGCGCCGCTGCTTCCCTCTAGGTGGACCCTCTGTATTCCTAAGATCATCTGGATTGATCACATACTTCCTGCCTACTCAAAGACATTAACCTTGCAGCCTCAGTGTCCTCTGTCTGACATTTTCTTTCCTTATGGGAGTGGGGCTCAGCTCACTCTAACTTCCCTTTGGTCTCTACTCCAAAGTCACCTTTGCTCAAATTAGCCTTACTTCAGACTAAGTAGTAATTCTGTCAATACCCTACATTCTCTTTTCCCTACCTCATTTTTTTGTTTTTCTTTTCTTTTTTAAGAGACAGCATTTCTGTTGCCTAGGATGGAGTAAAGTAGCTCAATCATAGCTTATTGCAACCTCCAACTCCTGGATCAAGCAAGAAGCCTCCCACCTCAGTGTCCTGAATAGCAGGGACTACAGGCATGTGCCACCATATCTGGCTAATTTTTAATTTTTTTGTAGAGATGGGATCTTGCTATGCTGCCCAGGCTGGTCTCAAAATTCCTGACTTTAAATGATCCTTATACCTTGGCGAGTTAATTTTTTTCATAGCATTTACCATTGTGTGATACATATTTATTTATTAGTTCACTGTCTCTTTTTATCTTCTCTCCCTAGAATTAACGAGGGCAGCGACATTGTGTTCACAGTGTATCCCCAGCCCCTGAAACAATACTTAGCCCATTGCAGGAACTCAAATATTTGTTAAATAAATGAAATGTGATTAAAACTCTCGATATGAAATTATAAGTTCACATAAATTCAGTCTAAGGATACTGCATTGATTCTTGTGGCACAAGCTAATTTTCAAGTTTTTCTTACCCACTGCCTCACACTAGTGAGCTGTGCCAAGTAGTAGCGTGAAAACTGGGTTGTCATTTCCCACATCACATAAGAGCTTCCAAGGAAAGCCAAATCCCAGATGGGTCTCAGAGAGGCATCAATATGTCCATGATTATCTGAGAGAGACAAAAAAAGCATATTTGTATTAATGCATTTTTGAGACAAAAATCTCAGAAGCTTCAGAAATGAAATAGGGTTTAAACTTAGTCATACCAGTCATCCCCCTCACAGTAAGACCTTGAGCCACACATGTGATTTATTTGTATCTGTTTCTATGTGACTTTGTGGATTTATATTCTTCAACTTGCCAAACTGAGTAAATTTATTCTAAATCAATTTAATGGCCATTTGCTATACTGTATACATGCAAAATAAGAGCTACGAAGCCTATGTCCTATCAAGCCTATGTCCACAAAGTATCTTGGAGCCATCCTGTCTTCTCCAAATTCACGGCCACCACCCTTCATGCCTGGGCTGCTTCTCTGAGACCACGGCCACTGTCTGCTACCAAATCTCTTAGATTTCAGTCTTCTCCTTCCAGCTGTCTCACACCCAGCAGCTAAAGTAACTTTTCCACACTCATTACTGAATACTCAAAGTTGACATTCAATTTAACCTAGTCTTGTTAGTTAAGAAGCATTTTTTTAAGAGACAGGGTCTTGCTCTGTTGCCCAGGCTAGAATGCAGTGCCACAATTATACTTCACAGTAGCCTTGAATTCCTGGGCTCAAGCTATCCTCCTGCCATGGCCTCCCAAAGTGCTGCTGAGATTATAGGTGAGGGCCACTGTGTTGGCCAAGAAGCATTTTTAATTAGGTTGAAAAGTCTATCACTGTTATTCTCCACCTTACCTTCTGGTTTAGGTCTACAGTCAGTGTGATGGGTGGTCTTTGCTTCCCAGTCTGCCAGAGTATCTTTATGCTTCTCTGATCATTGGCTTTAAAGCTAATCAGTGTATTGGCAGCATCTCTGTCACTTTTGTTTAACACATGAAGAAATCAGGTAGATTTGTTCTATGTAATTATTTTTGGATCTAAAATCTTTTAAATTTGGCAAACATCTTTCTTAAAACTTACACAGTATCAGACACTGTGAGAGGTAGAGATACGATGACTAATAAATTACTGTTTATGACTTTTAGGAGCTCAGATTTAATGAGATGACTGTTCATGAACCATCATTTTATGCAATTTTGCAGGGATACTATATTAAGGCCTAATAATAGCACAATACATGAGGAATACTAACAAGCTTATTAGGAAACTAATCCAAATGAATGCTCAGTTTGTTGAGGTAGGGGAAAGGGAATGTAGGATATTGATTATAATTTAAGCAGCATTCATTGATTTCTTGGGATCTGTGCAGGATACCAAGATGAGTCCCCGTCCTCTACATGTTGACAGGGTGGGGTTATAGTTGATAGATCCCTTAAGGAAGGGAGGATCAGAAAGCTGAGGGACAGCAGGGAAAGGACAGGTTTCTTTGGGCTGGAGCGGGTTGGGGGAAGCTTCACAGAGATGAGATTTTTGCTGCACCTTAAATTGCTGTCACGTGTGTGGGGGTGGGGATGGGAGTAGGGGTGTGAGTTAGAGAACAAGCACGTGAAGGTAGGAAGGCATGGGGCGGGGGCAGCCTCAGTGACTGGTCTTGATACAGTATACAGTATACAGTGTACTGGCACCAGATACTGAAAGGCCTTGTTTGCAGAGGTGCCAGAGCAGGTATGAAGTGTGACTGAGTAGTAAGTGTGGGAAGATGACTTTGACTGCTGGGTGCAGTGGTCTCAGGGAGTAGTCGAGGTATGAAGGATGGTGCCGGGTTTGGAGAAGGCAAGATGAGTCCAGAACACTTTGTGAATGCAGGCTTGATAGGAAATGGCAAGTTATTAAATGTTAGGAGATTAGGTGAAAATGACCTAAGTTTCTAGCCAAATCTAGGAGAACAGTATACTGTTATATAAATGTAGGACAGAATGTGGGAACATTTTGGGTGAAAACAAGTTGAGTTTGTAATTAGGTGTATTCAATACAGTGTCAAGAAAGCCATGAAGGTAGATGATATAAAGTGCTGCAGATAGGCTGGGCACAGTGGCTCAAGCCTATATAATCCCAGCATTTTGGGAGGCCGAGGTGGGTTAATCACCTGAGGTCAGGAGTTCGAGACCATCCTGACCAACATGGTGAAAGCCCATCTTCTATTAAAAATACAGACATTAGCCGGGCGTCATGGCCTATGATCTTAGCTACTCAGGAGGCTGAGGCAGGAGAATTGCTTGAACCTGGGAGACGGAGGTTGCATTGAGCTGAGATCGCACCACCGCACTCCAGCCTGGGTGACAGAGGGAGACTCTGTCTCAAAAAAAAAAAAGTGCTATAGATAAATAAGGAAGGATAAGAAGTAAGATCTGGTTGGGGTTCTTGGTGATCTCTGTGGTCCCTTTATGTACATAGAGTAGAAGCCAAATAGGAAGAGGCTGAGGATGCGGCAGTGTGTATAGAATCTACTTTTGAAAAGTAGAATGAGGGAAAAGGGGGTGATGGGTCTATAAAGAAATTGATCAACCAACTCTGATTGATGATCTCTGTTGGACAAGAGAAGGAACTGATTGACGAAGATTTTAAAGGTAGGAAGGATACTGATGGGGCAAAATTATGAAGCCAAAGTATAAATAAAAGAGGTCTTAGAATTAAAGAGAGTGTTGGGGAAGATGTAGCGACTTTGTGAGGTAGGAAGAAATGACAGAATCAAATGTCTCAATCTCAGTAAAGCAGGAGGCAAGACTATCTCCTGAAAGTGTATGAGGCTGGGTGTGGGCCTTGAAGAAATGGAAAAGCTTTGACATGGCTGTCATGTGGAGGACAGTAAGATGTTAGAAATGAATAGGTAGCAGCAGTGAGGGCTCAGCACTTGGAGAAATCTTTCAGAACAAAATACCTGTTGAGAATCAAGCAAAAAGGTATTTGTTACCTTTCATTGTCATCATTCACCCTTACTTGGCTTATTGAAGTTTTTTGGTTCTATAATGCTTTCCTGTTAATATCCAAGTGCCTTCAAACTTGGAACTGAGGACTTTCAGTACTCTTCACTGGCTTTTCTGTGTAATTTCTTTAACCTGGTAATGTCATTTTTCCTGTCAGCATATGATAAGTAATCAACAGGGAGCTGTGACTATTTTTACAGATGTTATTGTAGAAAGCGTGTTTTAGACTTGTACTTCCTGACTAGAATATCAGTATTTCACGAATGAATTTGTTGTTCCTCATTGGTATGAGCAGTTGAACCATAAGAACTTCAGAACATTATGTAATACAAGACTGAATTCAGCATCTTGGATATAAACTTTATTGCTTATTTTACTATTAAGAGGTTTCCCATCATTCTTGTCTTCACTGACTGAAAACTTCTTGGATCCAACTCAGCATCAAAAGGTATTCTGCCTTTTGGTGCTGCTGTGAGTTCAGATTTGTGAGATAAAACCCATCACCCTAGAAGATAAGTGAGTTATACTAAATACTGTGAATAGTGAGAACATTTGAAAGGATAAGTGCTGGCAGCACTGCTATAGAATCACTTGGGCAGACATAACTTCAGCTGGTTATTCTCAGTTCTTCAGTCTTTGTATGTAGTATACTTGGTTTCATCAATAGGAAGTTTACAAATTCATTAGAAGTAAAATGTTTACTCATAAAAAAACAGACAACATAAGGGGAAAAAAAACAATGTGAAGCAAGGATATTCCAAAATGGATTAGATCTTCTCATTTATCCATTATACTACAACAGCCCAGTGCCTTGTATCAATTAAATACTGAGTAGGAATCTGCTGAGGTTTGAACTGGGTAAAATTTATGTTATCTAAAACCAAACCTTTTTGGTTTTAAGTAAATAATTTTACATACACAGACAAGCTATAGCTAGCACCATTAAATGTCTCTGCTAAATTTCATATGACAGCAAAACTCACAAGTTTTTTGATGAAAGGTACCCTCTATTAAAAAGATTATTTTGCAGTTTCACAGTAGCTATGTTAAGTTAGATTATTGTAGAATGGCCCCTATGGATATGCAGGACTTATTAACTAAACATAATTCAGTTAACCTGCACTATTAAAGAGTGCCTAGAATCTCATGATCCTGTGGCAAATATTCAAAGAAAAGATCCAATACAATTTCTAAAATTTGTGTTTTAAGGAGTACAGATAAGCCCTATTTTCCCAACTAAAGGAAAACAATCCCTAAGTAAGTATAGATTTATAAGTATCGGTCATTAGCTCATTTATTTCAAGCAATACTAAATATAAACCAATTCTGCTACAACATGAGATATTAATTGCTCCTGTTGATTCTTTGGCACAGGACTTGATTCCAGTTGTCAGAGAACTATATGAGAATCATTCAGCGTTCAGAATTTTAGAAATGCAAGAAGCAGTATTCCACTTCCAGGTTTTTAAGGACACTTAGTCCCAGTAAATCAATGGGGAGCAGAGACACTCAGGAATGGAGACTACAGAGCCTCCAGTGTTGACATGGGTTTGCCACAGAATCTGGGCAAGTGAGCGAACTGTGGGAGAGGGTGGGATGATGAGTGCTGTAGTGGTTAGACATCAAGCTTAATACCCAGGAGCAAGGCCAGATATGACTTTCGTGGTTTTGAAAATTGGATTTGTCAGTAAATGTGCTGAGTCTCAACTGCTGCCCACACATTCTGGTGAGTACCAAGAACAAATGAGTCAGCTTCACTTTAGCTGAGTCACTTCAGCCGGCAGGGCTCCTGTGTTAGAGACAGCACACTGCCCATTAACCACTGACCTGAAATGAGAGAAACATGACTCCCCTGCAGCATCCCAGAAAAGGGCTCACCCGGCCCTGAGGCATAAGGCTGTGATGAACTGAGTGGAGGCTCTGGAGGCTGTCATATGAAGTTTCAAAAGCCACTGGCAGAAATAGAAATGTCGCCTCAGCTCCTGGACTAAACCCTGAAAACAGCACCCCTGTACGCATATCCTATTTCAGAATCCTCTACCTCTTACCTGGGGTTCAGTTCTTACCGTGCGCCTCATTCTGTGATGGAAAATGAGGAGATTAAAGGGATACTTAACTGTTGGTGGAGTAACTGCATTGGACTTGAGATGAACAGAAAGATAATACCTCTGAGTTTTGTTTAAATTACGAGGCATACCACAATCTTTAGTTGAATGAAAGTACCACTTTAGGGATAAAAACTTAAGTGATTTTTGTTTTGAAGATTAATTATTACATACATTCCTGAATATAGAAATTCCAAATGCTGATTCATACCAGGTATGCTGTCTATCTCCAAGGGGTTTTGCAGTTGCTTCATTTGCTTGTAAAGCAGGTAATCCTCTTGTTGTCTTTTCTTTTTCTCGATGAACCGTGTACAAGTTACATTGATGGCTGGTCGGGGTTTCTGATTCTTGAAAAACACTCGAGCAGAACATTTCCCCAAATGTCCCTCACCTTCCTGAAGTAAAGATTTTGGAATTAAACAGGATACTTTCTCATCACCTCCCACTCACCCCGGTGCACACAGGCACACACAAGATTGAGAAGAGTTCATTGTACATGGCAGCCAGGCTCTGGCATCAATAGACGTAGTGGGTTTTGCTTTATAGAAAGTGGTTTTTGTTGTCATAGCTGAATACAACAGTCCTCTCTTTGCTGTCATTTAAACTCTTCTGATTGTGACTTTATAAAATGATGTGGGGCATATTTCCAAAGAAATATCATTGACATCCATTGACTACTGCTTGGCTCAAAACTCTAGGGTAGTGGACACTTTCCTCTCTAATGTGGACTAACATAATCCTTAGGTGGACCTCAAAGTTACTAACTTGAACTAAAAGATGAAGCTGCCTCCTGATTTTTTTTGAGACGGAGTTTTGCTCTCGTTGCCCAGGCTGGAGTGTAATGGCACGATCTCAGCTCACTGCAAACTCCACCTCCTGGATTCAAGCAATTCTCCTGCCTCAGCCTCCTGAGTACCTGGAATTTCCGGCATGCACCAGCATGCCTGGCTAATTTTATATGTTTAGTAGAGACGGGGGTTTCTACATGCTGGTCAGGCTGGTCTCGATCTCCCGACCTCAGGTGATCCGCTCATCTCTGCCTCCTAAAGTGCTGGGATTATAGACATGAGCCACTGCGCCCGGCCGAAGCTGGCTCCTATTTACAAAAATAACAACATCATCTTCATGCTGCCTTATGAATTAGGTCTTCTTATTCCAATTTGAATGAATAAGATACTGAGGTGTAAGGAGGAACCTACTCTGTGTCTCACAGCTGATAAGCAGTAAGCCAGGGCTTGACCTTACTTCTGTCTAACACCAAAGCCCAGACTCTGCACTAACTTCATCTGTCTATGCCAAGATCTAATCCAGAAGAAATGGAGGCACTGATCATCCACATGGGATTCATTCAACTATGCGAGTGATGTTTATTTGCATTCATGTTTAAATATAGATGTTCTGGATATTCTGGGATCTCCCTCAGTTTACAATCCAGAAACATCTGGAGCTTCAGCCAGACATCATACACATGACTCATTTCTAGGATAGTGGTTCTTCCCCCTTTTAAGGAATTCCCTAGATTTCTTAACCAGATAATACAAGCCAGGGAATCTATTCCCTGAAAAACGCACATATCAACACTGGGCCTAGAATTTGAGGAAGTTCATGGGCCTCTTCTTGGCCCTACCCAAATCCAACTATTGTTGGCTGGTTGTGAAGTTGAGGTGATAATCTTCTTGTTACTTTGGTGGTTGTTTAAACTGGGTGAAGTCCCAGTGAAAAGAACAACCAAAAAGAAAAACAAAAAATCCATGAGGAAACAAATTGTAATCAAAATTCTATCTGTGCTTGAGCCCAGGAAGTCAAGTTTGCAGTGAGCCATAATTGTGCCAATTCACTCCAGCCAGGGAGACAGAGCATGATCCTGTCTCAAAAAGAATAATAAATAAATAAATAAATAAATAAATAAATAAATAAATAAATAAAGGATCTGCTTAACAAGCCTGTTTCTAAAACTAACTCAAAAAACTGAGAAACACTTTCCAGTGGGCAACTTCTACTGTGAGTGCTGGTTTTGAGTGAAAGAGAATTTCCATACTGCTTTAAGATGTTAATTATTGTGTACCATAGAAAAATGGTGAAGGAAGCCTTCAGGATAAGGCTTATGAAAGGGCAGAAGGAGGCTAGTACATGCCTCCTCTGATGTCTATGCCATTTCCAAGAAGACAAAAAGAACCAGGTACTGTCCCCTTTTTTCCCCCAAAACATCTCCATGGAATCAAAGCCGTTGCCTGAGGATAAAATAATTGCCCTTCACCCTCTGAAATGGAGCATTTCAGTTAGCTAGCTGTGCTCTTAATGCATCTATAGGATCAAATCCAAGGAAGCATATTGTTGGTGAAAATAATCTAGTAATTGTGTTCCCTCTAGCTTTAGTCTAACTTTCAGTTTGCAACACAACAATCAAAAGCATCTTTCTTATGCTTTAAGGAAATTTTAATTTGTGGGTTAATAAAGTCAGAGCATACTGCTGTCATGTTGGAACTTGTTTCTGAATACTGGTGAGCATTCTTCCAGGAGCATGGGGTTGAGGGAGTAATGCCTTCACTCTTGAAACTCTGCCACCCTGGAACACTTTGATCCTGGATGCTGCCTGCTCTAGGCTGCTTCTCAGCACAAGACAAAGAGCATTTGGGCCAGTCTCCACTCTGCCCATGCTCTGATTGCCGCCTTTCAGCTTCGTCCAGCACAAGGAAGTTCATCTGGCTCTAGTTTCTGTATGAGTTTTCTCTTTATTCTCTTCTTGAAAACAGGGAAAAGGAAACTTGGCAAAACATGGTCTGCTTGGTCAAAACTCTAGTGAGGCTGATGAGGGCTGGAGCATGTGCTGGTGTTTTGCAGAGCGCCTCTGTGTACGTTAGCTCGTGGGGTTGGTCTCATGCTATGCTGGCCTGCTAACCAGAAATGTCAGCAGCTGACAGGAAAAGAATAAGTTGGCATTTGAGAGTGAGTCATTCTGAGGACTCTGAGGAGCTAGGAGGGATACCAGAAGGAGTTGTGAAATTCTCTCTTAGGGGTCCCAAGGCAGAGGGAGGTGATGGCTTATATGGATTGTTTTAAATGCAGTCTCGCATAAGATCATGAAGTAGTTAAATATTGAGCTCTTGCCTAGTTCTGTTCTTTAATTCTTGATAACAAATAGGAAACAAATCAGGAAAAAAACAAAACCAAACCTCCAGGTCACTATATGTTAAGATTATCACTTTTTTACAAAGCCATATTTACAGCAGTTGCTAATAGGATACTTTACCAACGTGGCTGCTTACCTCTGGGTTGTAGCGCTCTGTGCTGAAGACCACATCAACTTTACACCCCTCTTTTGGATTAATCTGAAATACAGAAACGGAATCTTAGTATAGTGGAAGCTCCCTTAAACATCATCATAGCCAGGAATCACACTCTCAGGATAACATGGCATGCAAATGGTAGCTGTAGCATTTAACCTGAATCAAATTGGTGATTGCTTGGAAGAAAGATTTCAAATTTTGTTCTGATCATGCCATTCTGCTTGCTAGTTTGACACCTACTCACAAAGAGGGATGTTGAGAAAGAGAAATGGTTGTTTTCTGACTGGACTGACTTTGTGAGAGCATTGAAAGGAGAAATGAACAGGTGTGTGCAGGGAGCTGGAGGGAATTCCTTCATCCCCAGCTCCTCAGTGCCTGCTCCACTCCCTGTCCTGGGTGTTGGGGCTACATCAGTGAGCAGGACAGACCAAGACTTGCCATCCTGCCACCCACAGCCCAATGGGGATGCTGGTGACAAATGCAGAACAAGTAATAATTATGTTTTCAGGGGCTGATGAGTGAAGAAAGAGTGGCGGTGTAGGAAGGTGCTTGGGAAGAGGCGATCCCAAAGCCCAAAGATGAGACCGGCAGGACAGGAATTAGCCATCCCAGATCTGGGTGGGGGATGCGCACTGCAGGCAGAGGGGACCCACCAGTGCAGGCAGGAGGTGGAACTTGAGCCTGCGACAGGATGAATCACCAACACTGAAGAAGTTTTTCAATGCTATGCTCTTTATTTCCTGCATTTTTACAGGCAAGTATACTTTTAAACTTCTGAAGTGTTCATGTCTAGCCTTTTAAAACTGTTGAATTGATTCCAGTGCGTATTTTGGAATATACATATCTATGGTCATTGTGGCAATTTAAACTGTTTAGAAGAAGTTCATATTATTTGCCATCATTTTTTTAAGAAAGCAAAATGATCATTCAGTAAAAGAAATATTTCCTAGAGAGGAAAGGGAACTTTCTGTTGTATGGAGTCGAAGTTATTTCACGTAGCATTGATTAAGGTTAGACTCTGGAAACACTAGTTTCCTTGGAATCGTAGTGTAGGAATGCAATAACCAAAAAATGCATTATTTTATTTTAAATAGACCGGATATCATCCATTTCTGTTATAGATTCTTTAAAAATGCTGGGAAACTGGAGAAGAGAAGGAAAGGATTCCATGGCAGTTATTTATGTAGAGAATATTTAAATTTGTACGTGCATAGATGTTGCTGGGGAAGAAGCGGAATTCCCAGGAGAACTCACTGCACACAGAGCAGTTTGCTGAGGGCTCATTGTCAAGCTTCAAATGAATTCTGTTGTAAGCTGAAACACTGATTTTGGTTGACACAGTGCACACACACAAGTCTGTCTTTTCACTCATTCACTGTTCACCACCTACTATGCCAGAGCTTGGGGAGATATAAAGAAATGTGACATCCAGCCCAGCCTTTCCAGAAACCTACTTCTATCATGGAAACAGGGTTGCAGTGCAGCTGATCAGTGTGGCTGAGCACAGCCTGCATGAGGGTGCTAAGTTTAGGAGGCCTTCTAGAGCAGGTGAGGCCTAAACTAATGTGAGGAGCCAGTGTTAGTCAGGCAAAGGTGTGGGAGTGGGATGTCAGGGTTGGAATTCCAGGGAGACAGTGAGGCTGGAGAAAAGGTGTCTGGGGAGGCGGGTGCATCTTACTTTTTGGAAGATGACTTGGAACTTGATCCCAAAGTCTGGAAGAGTAACACTAAACATATCCACAGTACACCGGGTGTTGTTAAGAGTAGGATGAGGCATAAACGGGGCTCAGGACAGTACCTGGGTCAGGGTAAAATTCAGTCTGGCCACTATTTTTATTATTATTAAAATCTATAAGCACGAGAGAGTAGAAGAACTGGGCTAAACGCAAGAGGCTGACCCAAGTTCAAGGATAGGGAAGTTATATAACATGGTCTCTCATCAAGGTTGCTTCCGAAACACCCAATGAGTATTGAAAGGATATAAATGAGACATGCCTGACAGTGGCTGGACAAGGCTCTCATGACCTCTATCGCAAAGATTCCTGAAGTTCAGCATCTTTAGTACCTGCCAATATGGGAGGAACACTGGGCTGTGGCTTGCTGCCTCTTATACTCCCAGCCACATGGGCACCCGCAAACAACTAACACTCGAAAGGCAACACTTCTGCTTGCCAGCAGGTTCTAAGCCTTGAAAGGCTCGATGCACCAGCCCTGCCCCTCCGCAGTCTGCCTGTCCTGTTGAGTAGGGGCTTCCTGGGTACGGCCTCCTGCAGAGGAGTCAGTGACACCCTCAGGTTTCTAGCCAGGGGGTGGGCAAGGGTGGGCATTCATAAAATGAGGAAGAAGCCGAGTTGGGTGAGTTCAGTCTCTGGCACATGGGGAAATTTGAGATGTCTTGGAAAATGCTGAGGGTTATAGAAGTAGGATCAGCAGAGGTGGTGGTGAAAGCCATAGGATTTGTTGCAGTCCCCCGGGGAAGATGTGTAGACATCAGCCTTCACATCAGTGATACACTGGGGCGTGGTTATACACTATACAAAGAGATTCACTAAAGTCTTCCTTATTCTTTTCCTTTCCTTTTCTTTTTTTATATGGAGTTTCGCTCTTGTTGCTCAGGCTAGAGTGCAATGGCACGATCTCGGCCCACCACAACCTCTGCCTCCCAGGTTCAAGCAATTCTCCTGCCTCAGCCTCCGAGTAGCTGGGATTACAGGCATACACCACCACAACCAGCTAATTTTGTATTTTCAGTAGAGACAGGGTTTCTCCACGTTGATCAGGCTGGTCTTGAACTTCCGACCTCAGGTGATCCACCCACCTCGGCCTCCCAGAGTGTTGAGATTACAGGCGTGAGCCACTGTGTCTGGCCGAAGTCTTCCTTATTCTTGATATAATTAGGCATATTTTAAATACAGGACTTACGATTTGACACAACAGTTTTCTGGAAACATGGAGGCAAAGTGAGAAAGGCTTTAAGCTGGTATGGAGTCTGTCCTTTTAAAGAGTTATTATTATTTTTGCTGTTTTGATTTATTTTGTTTTAATAATGAGGCACTCTTAAAAGTGTCCACATTTCATCCAAAATGAGAGTTTTATATTTTTGGTTGTACTTTCTCATGTATCAAGACACAGAGGTTTTATCTCTCACAAAGTCCTCTCCCTTCTCCCTTCCTCTGAGTCACAAGTGCCATGTGCTGCTTTGCTGGCTCTGGTGAGATGAGCCGCACAGCCACAGGCCTGTGGGCGGGGTCAGTGGCAGCTAGGGCCACCTTCCTCTGGACACAATGTCTTGCGCTCCAGTAGTTGTGTTGAACTCTGGCTGTCCTTGATTTAAAATGTTCTGTGGAAAAGGGGTTCTTGGTCAACAACATCGCTCCATGATTTCGGCTTCAACATTATTCAGAGTCCTGTGCTGGGTGCAGGAAAGACAGAGCAAAACAGCAGCAGCTGCCCTCAGTGCAGCCTGGGGGAGATGACTTTAAATAGAGCATTGTAGGATTGACTGTTTGATTATGGCTGACTGAAGAGCTATGAAATGGTAGCTGGAGAGTTGATCTAGTCTAGGGATCAGGGAAATGACATTTGAGCTGAACTCTGAAGATAAAGAAGGAATTGATCTTGGTTGGGGGAGGAGAGCTGGCAAGGGCCTGAGGAGCAGTCATGGGGCCCCAGGGCAGAAAGACTGGAGCCGGAGCCAGTACAGGGAAGGGCTGACTGGGTGGCAAGGGCTACACCTGCAGGCCACAGACAGGATTTTGTCCTGAGAGAAATGGAAATCCAGGAACTAGAAGGAGGGTTGGATGGGTTTTGAAAAGATCCTTCTAGCTGGAGTGTGGAGAATGATGCTGGAGTGACGAGGTGTGCAGAGTGAATGTAGAGAGAGCAGGAGGCTGGCCAAGGGGCAGGGGAGAGGGAGCAGGGCTTTGAGCCAAGGTGAGGACAATGGAAATGGAGAGGAACATATGGTGGACCCAGTATGCCAGGTTGTCCCGAGCCAGGCTGCAGCAGGCCACCCTCCCACCAGCCACATGACAGCAGTCATAAACCACCAAACCCTTACTTTCTGAGTCCTATCAGAAAGTAAAGAATAAACAGGTAATTGAACATTGGAAATCATCACTGGAATATAACATTTTATATTAAGACAACATTTTTAACATCGTGTCATTTAAAAGATGCTTGTGTGTACAGAATAACGCAATTTGCCCAATAATTGGGCCAATTGCCTGGTACTGTTCTAAGCACTCTACATGTAGTAAGTGTGATAACAAAGCTTTGAAGTTCTACTCAAACTCAGTAGTAATTACAGAAATACAAACTAAATAAGCAGTAAGTTAGCACAGTACCACTAGTAGACTGGCAATCAGTTAGGAAGTGACAGGGCCCATTGCTGGGCAGGGTTTGGGGCGTTGTCACAGCAGTCTGGCATATGCACTCTGGCATATGTGGTCAAATCAGGCTTATGTATGAATGCCCTATGACCTAGAAATACCACTCTGGGCATGTATCCCAGAGAAACTGTGAAGCAGGTCTGTGAAGGAACTGATTCACATAAGGATGTTCACTGAGGCACCATGTGGGGAGGTGGGGTTTTGGAGGCACCCACCTTATAAAGACCTCTGGTCTTGCCCAGGGATGCTCCTTCTGTGACTTACACAACAGGTTGCTACAGCCACGTGGTGCAAAGCTAATCCATTCAATTCAAAGCCATAAAAAAAGTAAGTAGACGTTTTTGAAAGAGCGAAATCTGACAGGGGCCAAAGGTGACCAACAATTTTAGCTTTCCTGAGGAAAGGAAGATTCCTGTAATGTAGATCACGGTGATTTCATTTCTTTCCCCCACACACTGCCAGAACTGCCTATCTGTGAAACAGATCAAGAAACTTTACATCCCTTTCTTTAAACACAGCCAAACACAGAGCACATTGTTCCAGTAATTTTCAGAAAAGGGCTATTTGATAACAAAAAGTCAGCAAGCAAAGCAAATGACCACATGACTGTATAACCTGAATAAATAAATTAGTAGCTCTTTGCTGCAGATT